CTGGTCAGACAGACATATTTGTAGGCAGTCTCCAGGACCTTTGAGGCATTCAAAAGATTGTTAGGACGTGCGCTCCTAGTCATCCTAGGCAAGCAGATTAAGTGGTCTCAATAGGAGATGGGTTCATGTCCACTTCCATGTTGCTCATCATGCCGCGCGCTCGAATAGAATCTTGGATGGTTGTCCTCACCAGTCTACCGGTGAATCCGGCATGCAGGACTGGCCATGAGTGTAGCATCACTGGATTGTGCAAGATATCAAATTGAGTTTGGGGTAAAGTGCTGGGGAAGAAGGGTAAAACCAAAGCTGCCACTACTAATGATTCTTACAGGTTAATTACCGAGTTCTTTGTTGTTGTGCGACATTGCTGCAACTCTATGTGGTGATATGCTAGACATGTGCTCTATGCTGTATGTGCCACGCTTTGCTCGGCGCAGGATTTCTTCGAAGATGTGCAGAAGAACGGGATTTCGGCCATGAAGAAATACGAGAATGATGAGAGGCTACTGCATCGGTGAGGGTGGCGGGTGTTTCCAGTGACAGGTGGCCAAGGAGAAATTGGCATTTGGAGCAAGCTCATTGTTTTAGGCATTTTTCTGAGCCGCACCCGAGGCAAATCTCGCGGAATCGACTCCTTGGAACATGCACCAGCCAGTGTTCGTCATGGCTAGCCTCAAATGATCCTGAAGGTTAATATATGGGAACTGGGAAGACAGAAGCATGGATAGATAAACAACAGAAGTCCACGAGTCCCTTTGTTTGCAGCGGTTCCCGAAATCGATTTGACCGGGTCGTTCGACCGGTGCGATCGCTCGAGTACGAATCGTCACACATGTGGGAAGTGGACCCCCCTCTGTGTCCAAAGGACCTAGGTTCTGAGTGCTGTGTGTCTTTACCTTTGCCCACTGGGATTGAATCCAGGAAGTTCGTTCGGTTCATTTCTTCATTTTGGGAGACGTTCGTCGGTTTACTCATGGGGTAGAAGAGCCCTTGAATACCGAGACGCCCAGCTGCAGGATTCTTGAGAAGTTCTCCAGAGCCACTGGAGGCCGACCGAAACGCCGCACCGGAAATCGAAGGAACGACCGTGTGTCGTTCTCTAAGCCAAGGCCAGCGGGAACCTTAACTGGGAGTACTTGCGCTAGATGAAAAATCGAGGGAGAGCCACCTTATCCTGCACTTGACTTGTGAGATTTGTGAGGCTTTTGATTTCAAGGCCACTGTTCCGTTGACGTTCTTGGAAGTCAACTGTTCACTGGTCTACTTCGATTCCTCATGTTTATTTGAAGAGTGTGTTGGTCACTATGGTCGGTGTTCCAGAACAACTCAGGCTGGATGGTTGGCAATCGACAGATCCCCTTCCCCCACTCTCTCTCTCTCTCTTGACCTATTCTACATCTATCTCGTACAGTATGCAGTGCTGACATGCGTTATGAAGAGCAATGGCTAGCAGTCAGGGTAGCTGTCCTATGCTGACTCAGAATCAGAGATCGATAAGGGCCATATCAAGGATCTCTCTCTCTCTCTATATGCAAATACAAACATCGATCTGAATCTCAACCTCGCAAATATATATATATATATATATTGTTTTTTCTTGGTCACTCGTATGACGCTTTTCGATGTTTTGTTTTTGAGCGCCGTTATGACGCACAGAATCGGAGTCTGTGCCTGCGCACTCGCGTTCCAACGCCGCGGCGTTCCAACGGCCAGGTGTCCAGGCCTGGATGAATCAGATGAGCCCCGGGATGCCAGGCGTAGGGCCTCTCAGATGGAGTGAGACCTGAGACGGAGTGAAGTGTGAGTGGGTGGTGAAGAAGATTTCTTCGTGCAAAATCTGAACGAAGGAAGAACACGTTGTGGATGAGTCAAAGAAATACTGGAGTGAACTGATCCAAACTGAGAGCAGGAGGCGAGTGAAGCTTGATTCGAGGGCACCGACAAAGACGCTGTAGGGAGGTGGTTGGCATTGGTAAAAGGACAAGGCTCGTCTTAGAAGAAGTCTTTTTGGGGCAACTGGCTGCCATGGGAACGCGGATCGTGGGGAAGTTGATCAGATTGAGCTATGATCCTGATGATCAACTTCCCCACGATCAATCTGACCAACGGATTATTTTCTGAATGATGATTACACTCCGGAAAACTAATATGGACCCTGGCTGTCTGGCCTCCTGGAAGATTGATTTCCTCTACCAACCAGTGGTTTTCAGGGTCCATGGGATCGTCTTCCAGGGTGTATATCTTTCTCCTTACCCAGTTCTCCCTCTCCACCACCTCTATTGCATCTCACTGCTCACTGGACCCAGCAGCCAGAATCCAGGCTGTAAGCCGTTGATCAGATCGTGGTTCTTTGATGAATCCTTCTGATGTTGTGCTCAGCGGTGAAGACGGTGAGCGCATCCCAAGCGCTGGAGTGGAGCTTCTGGTGCTCCATGCCAGCCAGGGTGTTAATGGATTCGATAGCAGTTGTCAAACATGGGCATGGACATTGGTGCTGAGGCATAGATCATCCAAGAATTCTAGAAATACCCAGATACCCAGTGCAAACGCCACAGGATTTCATTTGCAACTGGTGAGTTATTTGTCAATGGCAGAGACGAAAAGGGACAGAAATACTGTTTCGAACCCCTGCCAGTGATGAGGACCGAGTTGGATCGAGCAATCTTTGATGGACCATCTTCTGAACACCCAAAGTGGAGCTTTTTCGGACCAAAACACTCAACCCCGTCGCGCGTGCGCGGCCCAGATGCCGCCTCGCCCAGCAACTCCACAGTACAAGCCGCTGGCCCAGTCAGCGACATCAGGGAGATGACCCCAAAGGGCTTTCCGTCGATGGCCTGGGCAACCAACTTTCGAGAGGAAGAAGACCTGAAAAGGTGTTCGTTCTTCTCCTTCAAGGGTTATCATGTGAGTGTTTTTTTGTTTATTATCACATATATATATATACACATGAGGTGTTGGCGTGCCGTCCGAGCTTATGCTATTTGCTGAGAATAATTGGTTTTGATTCACTTGGGTTTGATGCAAGAGCACCTCTTACAATTATATATAGATAAAATATTTCCCCTTTAAAGGCTTGCATGGTGGGAGCTGGAACAGCTGGTGTTTCCCTCCCACACACACACCACACACCTGTCAGCAGGGGTCAGCAACAAGTCGGTCCATTGGTTCATGCCAACGGCGTTAAACATGATCCATTGGGGTGTGTAGGTATTTTTTGGGGGACCTCCCACCCATGGGTGAGTTTTGGTCCATCTTCCGAACCAAACCCACGGGGGTTGGAAGGGTGTTCCGAGGTTTCGGTCTTGTCTGATTTCTTCATGGTGCCAAGGCAAAATGCCTTTGGACACCCTCTTGCCTTGTCACGCTCAGTCGCAATGAGTCAGTCTTCTATGTATTAATATACATATGCATATACATATACATATATATTAGACAAAGAGAGAGAGAGAGAGATACATACCCAGATCACGGACACGGTGCCGTCGATTCTTCGGAGATGGGTCTGGAAGAGCCTGGGCCCAGAGTGAGTGCTGCTTCCTCTTCGAAGTGGTCGTTTCAGATCCTTGTCTCAGATGGTTGATCCTCCCAGCACTGTTCAGACGATCCCATGGCACCCTTATATTGGAGGTTTTAGGATGGCTTTTAGGAGGTTTCAGATGATGACACCGATGGCCCAGATGCATCGGATGACTGTCTCACCCCAAATCCATCCACCGAAATCCTGCAGCCGTGGATGGGGTCGTTAGAGGAGGCTTCGGTGCGACACCCACCGAGGCCTGGGGATGAGGTGATCATTCGAGGCCTGGCGAAGGCTCCCGAGCTCAACGGCAAGAAGGCGCAGCCTTGTCTGCGGGAGAGGTGAATGGGTAGGGACGCTTTGGGATTTTTGGGTAGCCTTGTGATTTGATGCGTGAACATCCAGAAGCAGGGTTGGCAGTTGGCCGTTTGGTCTTGCTCGAATGCAGCAAGAGGACAGGCCAAGTCACCCCACTGCTTCGGAGGCCAGGAGCCCTGGCCCCGAGCCATCTGCGCGATGAGGCGATGGTGGTGCCACCCACTGCTGAGGAGAAGAAGACCCTGGAAGGTCCGGGTGGCCCTGGAAGGTGGTGAGGTCAGTGCTTGGTGCTGAAGCAAACATGGAGGCCTCACCAGAGACGCAATTCTCCAAAAGGGTAGCTACAGAGATCTTTAGACCAGCCCGGTTTTGGGGAGCCAGGGCGCTGTGCGAGCCTGGTGGCACCAAAGCCTCAGTTGAGCATGCCAAAGATGTCGCCTTCGTATTGAATGAAATTCTTTCACCAGAAAACAAAAGATATTTGAACAGCACAAATCTCAAGCTTTCCTTCCTAAAGTGATTAGAGTGGGAATGATCCTCCAGTCCAGATGATTTCCCCAAAGATTGTGCAAGCCAGGCATAGGGAAGAGTCTGGGTTATACAGCAAGTTATACGGCTATACAAGCATGCAATCCTACAGGCACTTGAATGGCAAGATTTGCCGGTCTGGGTCTTTTGGTGTTTTGGTGCCATCACGATTCCACGGAAAAGCAGCGTTTGGCGTTTGCCCTGTTTAGTCGTCCTGCACAGACGACTATATACTGTGTGTATATATATACGGTATATAAATTGGATGGCTTTGGCCAAGGGCCAGGTAGATTTTCACAGGGGGGGAACAGTTTATGTTGAACTCTAGTAGTAGGCTGCAAGGGATTCTACTGGAGCATTGTTGGAAGAACAGCATCCTGAAATACATGAGAGGAAGGTAATATCAATATGTATCATATCAATGGATCTGTCATCATCTGACTATTTGCTGAGTCCAGGGGCACATTTCACCAGGTCCTTTAGCTGAGTCCCTTAGCTGCTCTCTTAGCTGCTCGCAAGAACCGCTGGATGCTCGGAGAATTTCTTCTGGATCAGACCTTTATCCCACCCGGCTTGGCCTTGCTTCCTTGCAGCTTCCCTGCAGCGTCACGCACGCGTGCGTCACGCACGCGCCATGGTGGTGCAGCAGGTGGCACAAGGTCGGTGGCAGGTGCGGGCGGGCGGTGTTCCGGCAAGGTGAAAGGTGTTCAGCCGGCAGCAAGTGCTGGTAGACTGATTGAATGCGCAGGTGCAAACCATCAGGTTTTGATGAGTCACATCCCCATCCGTGACTCTGCGTATCTCTGCGTTGGGCCTCTCCCTTTTTACCTGTAATAGCAATAGCCAGTAAACACATTTTATAACTATCTTAGAGGAAGGCCTGCAGCCTAACCATCATCATCCACTGAAACCTGGAAAGAGGACAGACCCAACAGTATCTCACTGCGTATCCCTGCGAGAGGTTGGGATTTTTTCTCTCCTTGTTCCTGAGATGTGAGGCCCGGTTTTGACGTGTTGGGTTGGTGAAATGCGGGTAACTCTCTGTTGTTTGAAGGCATCCGGGAACAGTGTTCAACAGGATTCCGAAAAGTGTAGCAGACGACAAGCGGTGGAAGCTAGACACCACAACTTGCATCCCTGTGTATGGATTTCATAGATGATGTGCAAAAACAACATATACGATACCCTGACGACAGGTAGAGGAAGAGCCTCAAAGCATCGCAGATCCGGCCACAGAAATCCTGCTCTTTCCAGGTGACTGGGCAGGGCCGCAGAGGCACACCACAAGGACCATACCGGGTAGATGCAGAGGGGCTCGAAGGGACTAGAATGGTCTCCTGAACTGATTTCTGAGTATTGGCTTTCCTACTTGTCTCACCTTCTTCTTCTTCCTCTTCTTCTTGAAACCGCGGTTTGCTGGACATAGGCGCACGGCAACTCCCCAACCTGGATCATCACCATGTAGATGAGGAGCTTTTTCACAGCCGGTCCAGGCTCTTCATCCAGGCCGTGGCGGCCCTGGCGTAAGGGCCTCCAGCAGCTCTATGAGGGTCGGGCGTCGAGGTGGGCGGCGCCGAGCGCGTCGTGGAACCGGTCGGGGACCCGAGTGGCACGGAGTGTTGGACCAAAGAGGACCGAGTTGTCTCAAGTGCCTCCGACCGGGTCGAGGTGAAAGCCTTGAGACATTTGAACATACCAACCACTCATCCAAGTGCAAGAAAGCTAAGAAAGCTTTTGGGAGCGCCCAACGTTGGGTTCTGGTCAGATTGGTGTGTGCGAAAATCGACCTGGCGAACTTTCGGACGAAGACTTCGGGAGCAGCAGCCAGCTTTTGAGGCAGAAGGAGCAGCGAACCTCCAACGTGTCGTGAGCGAAACTCATTTAGTGAACATACCCTTGGGAGTTTTTCTCGCGGTGCGTGGCTGGAAATTTCATCCTAATGGAGCCAATCTACTTGACCTGCCGACCATTTCATGTCTGGAACGTTGGATGTGAGCGTGTTGCCTGTGTTTGATGTGACGACTTCCCCACTCGAACACTTTGCTGAGTGGGGAGAATGACATTTAAACACATGTATGCATGCATGTTTCAATATTTGTGTAGTTCGCGACTTTCAACATTTTGACATACCACTCCCGCATTGACGCCCCATCCCGTCCTGGAGCACCCTCCAGTTTCGCAAAAAGAGCGGCGGCCCCTTCTGTTTCACCAGGGCGGCGCCGGACTCCGTGGGGCTCTGCATCACCAACAGCAGCTTGGAGCAGTCTCGAGTTGTTGGAAAGCCTGACCAGCGCATGACTCCGGTTGATCTGGACTCCAAAAAGAGGCTGAGCTGGTTAATGCGGAACAACAACAACATACAACAACTGTATAGTCGGTATAGTCATAGGATATATTATTTGAAGTATCAACATGCATCTAAACCGATTGCAACCTACAGTATCCACTGCCCGCGCGCCGCACCAGCCAAAGTCTCCGAGCACCCACCTGTTTTAAAGTGGCTATATGTGGCTATTCCATTTTTGAGGTATCTAAAACTAACAATACTTGCAACAGTCATACTATTGGTGTATGATAGTATGATAGTGCATGTTTTTCCCAAACAGTGTGGGTGGACACACTAGGGGTTCTTACGGTAGGTGTAAAGCAGGTGTGCTTAGATAGGTGTGCCGCGCGGGTGTGTCCGGCTAATTCACTGCTATTTACAGTACATTCATGCCTCTCGAACTCCTCCAAGTGCATTTCGACTGCGCAGGCTCACAAAATCTGCCTGCCGGCGGGGGATCAGAACCTCAGTTCCCTCCAGATCCTAGCTGTAGTTGAACAGGCTTTTCAAGACGCAACTCGTGGGACCCGGAAACTCACAGAGGCCGAGAAGGCCCAGTGGAAGTTGATGGTCAGTGCAACTTGCATGAGGCTTGGTGGGCGGTCGATGTTTACAGCTCCTACATTGACGCGTGCAGATGTTGGTGCAACAAGAAGTGGTGATCCAGGAGGAGCACACAGCATGAAGTTGAAGTTGAAAAGGAATCAAGTTATAGATCAAGGTTCTGTTTTCGATTTGGAGATGCTACCATTGGCAACACAGCAGAAGATGCATGCAAGGCTTGTGGGCATGAAGGTGACAATCCGCTGGACAAAGAAGAAGTTACAGACTCACAGTTGACCTGCCTTTACCACAAGCCTCAGTCGGGACAGACACCATTCGTTGATATGGCAGTTTGGGGTCCACATGGTGAGAGGCTGGCCAGGGCAATGAAGTTTGTGAGTCACAGTGGCGAGACGGCCAACAGGGGCCTCAAGCCTCGACTCCTGGGAGGAAGCCTGGGGGATCTTTATCGGACTGCATCGTTGATGACAGAGTTGGCCACGGCTGCAACATTGGATCGCTACACCTCGGAGTTTAGAGCCAGGGTCTTCATTGCACCCAGACATTTGGCATCTTGCTGCACACGCTGACATTCGCTGCCGGACGGAGTTTTGGGTCCAGGAGGGCAGGAAACGGGAGGCGTGCCACGCAAACCACCTAGCATTGTCAAGCGACAATTCAAGCCAACCTTCGAATTCAGTCACCCGGGCCAGTGCGAGCAATGCTGAAATTTGGGAAAGAGTTTGAGATATTGGCAATGCTGTATGCCACGAACTCGGCAAAAGCAGCACCGGCTCGTCCGCCAGGTCCCAGTGCAGAAGAACCAGAAGGATCCAGAAGATTTTCATCCAAAGCCACACAAGGTTTGCGAAGAGAACCTGCTGGCGTCCAGATCAGCACAGTTGGCTTTGATTATTAATAGAGAATCTGGAGAGCTCCTACATCTGGTTGTATGAGCCAGCGAAACTTGTTTCAGCTAGATGCAGTGAAATTGTGGACAGCAACAATACGTTGTGAACAGTTGGCACAGTTGACATTGGTTGGCTGTGATTAGCAATTTCAACATTGGCATGAGTTGGACTGGCTTAGACAAAAGTTGCCAAATTTGTTTCATTGCGATAGCCATGAGCGTGGGCTCTGGGGGTCGTTGTTGAAGTTGGTGCAGCTTAGTCGAGACCCTGACATGGAGGCCGCAACCTGGCCACGGCTTGGAACCCCGCTGGGAATAGAGAACAAGGTTCATCCAGGTGGACCATTTCCACATATCTCCACCTCTGGATGAAGACAGCAATTGGGAAGAGCAGAGGAAGCTGGACTCGCTGAAGCCTTGCACGGGGCACTTTACAGCTACAAATCCGGTGGGGAGTCTAAGGATGCTGCCGATGCTTTGTTCCGAAAAGAACTTGAGAAAGGATTCGTACATTGGAGTAACAACAAAGCAGAGCTAGAAAAGACGCATGGTTGTTTGGTGCAACCATCCATTGGCTACATTGCAAAGATCAAGCTTGATTGATCAGTCAAAGGACGACTGGTGCACGAGTTTAGGCGGAGTCATGTGAGCACATCGAGTTTGACAGTTGCCGCGTTTGAAGGACGCTGTAGAAGACACGCTGAGACGATTGGAAGTCAAAGAGAGTCGAGAAGTGGTTCAATTTATGAGCCTGGATTTTGCAGATACTTTCAAACATCTACGAGTGAGGCCCAAATGAGATGAGGTATCTTGCTGGAACAGCGCTTGGTGGATACTTTGTGTGCAACACAGTGCTATTCGGCAAAAGAACTGGGCACTTAGTCTGGGGTCGTATAGCTGCGTTGATAGCCAGATCTACGCAGTGCTTCATAAAGACAGGCGTCGAACGCAGATCTTTGTCGATGACCCGTTGTTGGTGGGAAGAGGCGCAGTGCAGCAACTTACAAGCTTGTACAACATTGCGTTGATGGGGTGGTCAGCAGTGGGGTTGCGCTTTGCTTGGCCTAAGGGCACTTTGGGAACAGAAGGCGAGTGGATTGGTGCAAAGATCGCCGTGGACAATGAACGCTTGACAGTTACAGTGTCGGTGACGGCAAGCAAACTAGAAGAACGGAGAGCTTTTGCAAGCTTGAAGACCAAGCCATTGATTTAAGCGCTGCAGAGGTTCACTGGGACGATGTCGTGGGCATTGGGGTTTTCTGCCCCAGCGCGCTACCTTGGCCTCAAAGCCGGAGAAGTTGCAAGGCCAACCTATGGTCTACTACAGGCAAGTATAGCCGGCGCTGAACTGGATCCAAAGTATCTTGTGGAAGTGTTGCCCTTATGGTTTAGAGACCTTGGCCCTGCATTGGAGGAGGAAACGACATGACTTCCCACCCTGCGTTGTTCCGCTGACCAAGGGGAATCTTCAAGAGTGTCGCCCAATTGTTCAGCACCTACACTTGGCCGCTCAGGAGTTGGCAGTGTGTCAGAGCAATTTGTCAAGTCCACTGCCACCACTCAGGTCCACGCGTCGCCCAGCACATGCGCCGTCCTCTGTCTCTCCAGTGTCATCAGTGTCCCGTAAAATAGGGATTGCTTTCACTGACTGTCCAACGAGAAATTCTGCAGCTGAGGCTCCAAAAACCACTGCTTGATGGAAGAAACATCATAGGACGGGGAAGGGGTGGCAGTTGGGTAGCAACATTTATTGTAAGATTTTGATTTGAGTTCCATTGTGTGGCCAAGTTCATTTGGTTTATGAGAACAGTGAGAGTGGGAAAGGAAAAACAAGGAGCAGACCTTGTAGTTGATAGAAAACAAGGTTCGCTTGTTGCAGTCCGACCCTTGAACCTTTGCTTCCATGAACAATCAGTTTTCCTTGTATCAATTTTCTGCCGCCCACAACAGGCCTTTCTGTAAACAAAATAGATTGCTTGCACGCAGCCACTATCAAGACAATTGAGCCCTTGGCGGAACAGAAAATCATTGAAAGATGATCTTTGTTGTGGGAGCCCAGGCCTCCCTCCTCAGTAGATCAACAGAGGGTGGCTTCGCAACGGTCATCACCTTGACCCACCATGCGGCTAAGATCTCCAGCGCTGTAGCATTCAAAGACATAGCATGAACACTTTTGAGTCCAACCAATGTATTAGCTGCCCATTCTCGGCGTCCATGACCCGAGCCTATAGGGTGGAATTCTCCCATAGGTTGGCAAGCTCTCCAAAGGGATATCCCTCGTCATCGGCCCAATCGACCCCAACCGACTCACTCGCCGTCGTGGTGACTGGGTATCAGCCAAAACCCCATAGATTGATTCAGATTGATCTTCCTTTTCAATATGGCCGAGGAAGTTGCGCGATAGGCGCAAACACACACACAGTCCTCATAACATCCTTGCACACAGACACTGCCAACTTCATGGAACTGACAGTGCGCACTGGCGGCGATACTGGGTAGCATAGCAAGTCCCTACTAGGTTCGCAGAGAAGTCACATGAAGTCACCAAGGTAGAATGGGCAGCGAGAGCAGCGAGATTCGCTTACACATCTTTTGCTAGAGGGCCAGTGCAAGGCTTCCACCTCCTTTTTACACGGGAGGACAACGACCACAACGACCCCGACAAGCATCAAGACCACGTCAGCCGCGTCCCCAAATTGTTCAACAGGCAGCCAACATACGGGGCAACAACAGTGGCCGTGCACGAAGGAGGCCATGATCGCCAGCCAATTCCGAGGAGAGATGGGGACAGATCTCGAGAATTTAGATTTCAGTTTTGTCGCTTTGTGCTTGAGCTTGTTGTTTTCACGAACATTCTTGACTCTACCAAAAGTGCCGGATTTGTCAATATTCGGCACTTTCCTCATTCCCCAAATTCCAGGTTCTTTCAGCCGACAACAAGTAACTTGCTGGCATGTCGTGTGAGTCTGCACTTCCGCAGCCGTTTTTCAGGATGCACCGCAATTGCAACGGTTTAAACACATTTGGACAAGGTGGCCGGGTCTGAACATGCGACCCACATCGCCTCCAGCGTCATCAGCACGCCCACTGGTGGCAGAAGTCACTTGGCAAGAATGCCCAGGACAGCTGCCAGTCGATGCAGCTCAGAGTTGCGATGCTCAACCATTTCATCCAGAGTGCAGGGCATATCATGTGTGCCCACCCTCTCCTCCTGTAGAAGGGGGAGAGACATCAGAAGATGATGAACAGGAGGAAGATGACGGCTGGTGATTTGTGAGCAACGTGGTCAAGACAGAAGTCAAGGAGGAACCTGACACGGAAGAAAGGTCAGTTCAAGCGCTTGAGTCACCGGCCAAAGTTCCCAAAGCGTCACCTAGGTGCTTTCAAAGTATATACTTGAAGAAAGGAATAGTGGCGGCTGACCCTAAAGCCATAGAGGCCCATGGGGAGCCTCAAGGCTCGGAAGGGCTG